CATTTTGATAGAACCAGAAAGGCCTAAAAGTGATACAACGAATTTTCACTAGATGGCAGCATAATCATTGTTATGGTTTTTAGTCTGTGATCTAAATTTGAGGTGCCATACTGGCCTAAGTAATATAGGTCACTATGGTTTGTCCATTGAATTAGGCCAGCATGGTTCTCATGGCCTCATTTCAATGAAACTTAGCAAATAGACGTAAGTCCATGTACTTTTGAGGTCGGTTTTTTTAGTACTCTGTGGATTGTCTGTGAGATTATTTATAGATCTGCACTAAGGAAACCCTATGTCGCGGGTGCAATGGACACACACATACATAACCACAACTTGCACCCTAACGCACGTGAGAAATAAACGCAGTCCTTACAAATATTTCTCCCGGCCCAGGAATAGAACCCAAGACCTCTGCGTGTCAGCATGCCAGCGTACCATTACGTGTTGTAGCCAATGAAGTTGAATAAATTATACATTCGATTTTCATATCAAATAGAACTGCCGTCACATTTGGCACCACCTAAATAGAATCACGTCACTTTACTAGCGAAGATGGAATTGATAAAAATTGCTAAATCACGACTTGTAAGGTGTCGTTACATTGGCTAATGAAATATGTGTGTTACATAGAATGCTTTTTGGAAGCAACCACTGTACTATTTTACACGTCGCCACTAAGGCTGGAAGGTCAATTTCGACAATTTCTCAAATGACGTCGATTTTTCGGCATTTTCTGGACAGACTTTTTCAGTACCGGGAACTGAAGTCAATAAAACAGTACCTATTAAAAATCTATTAAATAAATAGTCTTTGTCTGCTTTGACCCCAAGTCTGCTATTATAATCTAAGTTATGCAGGTGATCTGTGAAGAATATGCCAAGTTCTTCTTCTTCTTCAAGTTCAGTTCTTATGGTCTTCAAATAAAAATGTCTGAATGGTAGTAGATTGGTTAGGGTGGATAAATTCCGTTATCTTGGTCATATAGTTATTGAAAGTCTTAGTGATAATAATGACATTGAGCGAGAAAGGAGTTGGCAATGCGTGGTAATATGTTGGCCAGGAGATTTGCACTCTGTTCAGATCAAGTTAAAGTAACGCTCTTTAAGTCGTACTGTCAGACACTATATACGTGTAGTTTGTGGGTTAACTGTACCAAACAAGTGTACAATGCCATCCGCGTTCAATATAACGATGTATTTAGAGCTATGTTTAAATTGCCAAGATACTGTAGTGCATCTGAAATGTGTTTCTTAGCACAAACGCGGGGGTTTGCTGCTGTGCTTAGAAAGAGGGTTTCTTCTCTTAGACAGAGAGTGCTAGATAGTACTAATAGCAATACAGCTGCTATAGCTCGTAGTTGCGACTCGTCCATACTGAGACATTGGATTTCAATTATTAATAAAAGCTGCAAAAGTTAAGAGAGGTGACTTCTCAGTGGCCAGCCGTCGAGCTAACTATTCAACTGCCATTGTAATGTTTTGGTATTCTGCTCTTTAATGGCGAGTCGATGGCACGTCCATGTCGTAGTGCCCTATCGAGTGTATAACCAGAAATAGAGACGAAATAAGGGCCATCCATCCCTGGCAAGTCATCAAGCAAATGGGCCTTTCATCACTTTTAAATAACAACTCTCGTTTGCGCTGAAATCACAAATTAGATAACTGCAATAGTACAGCGCCAACAACTGACCTGTGTGTATGTCTTCGTATATTCCAAAAATATTTAGTGTAATAAAAATAACATCTCTCACAATGGGGTCTGTTCCATTCGATGGTGTGGGAAAAACCGCAATTTTCGTCTATTATAGCAATGCTCAAGGTAAACTGTTCAATTTGAAGAGAAACAATTGACGACACCCGTCAATTGTTTCGAATTCGGGCTGGCCAATCGGAGCGCAGCCGTCACAGTAATGATTTGGCAGAATAGTTTTCAAACAAATGAAATGACATTTCGTCTCTATTTCTGGTTATGTATTAGATGTAGTGCACTAATATCATGTATATGTAATTTCAAGACGAAATTGCTACTTAAACGAAATAAATAATGCATAATATTTTCCTTGATATATTGAACTTGAACTTGGTAGATCGTTAGTAATTGAATGGATGAATTAATGCCATCAATGTCATTCCACTGGCACTCTTTTGAGATACAACTGCCATTGCAACTAGATTTTAGCAGAATAACAAATATTATCATAATTGCAATATAAATATATGTATAGCCGTGGGGCGACGGCTTAAGAATACATTGTCGCCTCCCCATACATGCCCGTGGGGGTCGTAAGAGGCGACCGAGGGCGTCACAAGTGTCCATCTGCTTAGCATTGTGGTAGGCTCTGTGCCGACTGGATAGCGACCACAGTACACACGGCGGAAAACCCTCCACAGTGAAACGCTTTTGCGAATCGCGTTCAGGGATCAGTTGGTGTACATCCAGTGCATTTGGCCAGACCGGCAAAATGATAGTGACGGAGTGAAGATATTTGTGTTTTCCATCCGTTACTCTCATCTCTGGACTGTATTCGCACTTTCCATCAGGCGCGGTGCAGTCATTTTGTCGGGTTGCAAATAAAAAAAAAAAAAAAAAAAAATAAACTCAATGGAGTTTTACAGGAATTACAATAACCTATGGTTTGAGGAAAATTAGCAGAATTGAGGTACAACCTGTGAAAAATTGAAGAACGATAGTAAAGGTCGTTTGTTACATTTTTTACTTCCTATTTTATTTACTAAACAATAAATTAAAAAAGAAAATAAGAATATAGGGACATGTTTCAAGAAACATATGTAATAATTTATAAATAAATATTATATCAAATATTATTAAATAAATATTATTTTACAGAAATTGATAATTACATAAACTTAACGCATACAATTATTATTTTGACATAATAATTATTACATAATTTAATATGTTCCTACATTAACTATGTTACAATTACATAGTACAAAACTTGTACTGGATATTTGTAATTTTTTGAAATATAAAATTTATTACTATTTGTAACGATTCTTGTAATACAATATCTAAATCTTAAATAACGAAGACAATAAGTTAAGGTAAGGGAAGGTACAAAGAAAAATTAAATACTAAAAAACTAAAAGTGGATTAAATTATATAAATAAAATAAATTGGGTCCCCGCAACAAGATACCCAAGATACAGGCAGTGCTCCCCCTTTATATGGCTATGCTAATGCATTGGGTTACCCAGACAGTCTATAATTTTTTTGGATAAACAGACAATAACAATATTTAATTCATTTCATTCTTATACACATACAGTAAAATCTAAGACAGGAGTTACGTTACATGAAACACTTATGTCTATGATTGTACGTGCTACTTATATGAAATGTTTAAAACTCCCGAATACCAAACTAAGCGAAAACTGAAGGGCACTGGGAGCCCACGGGCCAAGGGTTTCGACTCCAAAGATTTTAAATAGGTAGCAGCCGAGGTTCTGGTGCTTATTTCTCTTTATTCTCTACTTAGGGAGCTAGGTCAGGAAATGGCTTAAACCCTTTGGGTAAAAACCCGGGCGGGTTGATTAGACCCACTGACCATCTCTAAATGCAACGTGTCTATTTGTCTACAGCCTTTTTTTAAAATTTTCGTAGCTACCAGTAAAAAGGTCGATGTCACTAAAGGGCACGTTATAACTGTTGACAATTTGTAATAACACTACTTTCTTCCCAAAGCTAGTATTTCAATTAATTTCGTTTTTACTCAGACGTTTGAGCATGTGTTTTGATATTTTTTTGTGTGTTTTAGCTATAACAGTTTTTGGCAGAATATCAGCGAGGTCAACGTGCTTTATTGTCTCCTGTAGCTGACTCACAGATCCAATTAACTTGAGTGTCTATTTATTATTATTTCTGATCAGTAACCGCGCTTACGGTAAAATTAAATATCAAAATGTCCCGTTTCGCTATTTGAACCTGAATGAACCAACTACGGGCTTTACAGTGCGATTTTCAAGTGCATTCTGTGTAATTGCCGTCCACTGCTTCTTCATAAAGAAGTATCAATAAAACTTTGATATTTACGCTGAACATTTTATATCAAAGCAATATAAGCACTAAGGCACAAAAAAGTACAGGTTAAAAAGCCTGACGGTTTTGCTATTTCTCAATTATAAATTCCCTTACATTTGTAGCAGATCAATAATAACTGATTATATGAATCTTGTTCATTCCGACTGGATACTAAATGAAATGTAGACTATAGTTCGAATATTTCATAGCTAATTACGAGCGCCAACGACAGCGAGGGCTGTCGTTACTGGCAAATTTCCGACCAGACGACTTGGACTTCATTCAAATAATGGTAGGTGTACCTACTCGTAAACTAATTAATTTAAATTGCCCAAACAGTATGTAAACCCGTAATTTTTTATTACCTTGAGTTTTTCTATGTGCCTACAGTCGGCGTATCTTGTTTCGGGCTGTCCGGTTTACCTTTTACAATACTACAACATCACTGTCCTGCATTACTGATGACGCGAAATGCTCACCCAAAATAAATTCAAGCTCAATATTATATTTAGCGCGCTTGCTCGGACTACGACGTGGCCGCCAGTTGAACGGAGCGTTTGTACCGATCGCAGATCATATCCCTATCAAAAACAAAAAATAGCGTTGTTTTACACAATCTTTGTCGATAAACAATAAACAGCAGGAGGACCACCAGTGACTAGTGAGAGTGTTCCGTGCGTTTCAAGGTAAAGCCGCAGTAATAAATCCGAAATAATCTGTACACAACTTATTCACACCTATTTCCACACAATCCCACGCAAACACCTCGTGTTTTCAGTTACTGACGCTCACACTGAGACGAAATGTTGTGTTCTTGGTTCGACGGTGAAAAAGTGAAAACTTTGCTGGATTCAGTGTGATGAAATTGACTTACTTAAATATGAAATCAATATGTATAATTAAAAAAAAACAATATCCGGCAAGTCTTTACTTTTGATTGTATGTTGTGAATGAATTCAAAGATTTATAACCTTATGGAATCTGACTTGTCACCAGATAAATGTCAAAATACACCACCGGTGCCGATAAAGACTTATCAATGGGAAGATGTGCGAAGAGCTCGTGAAGCGGGAGGCTATCCTTGGACGCACCTATTGAAAGTGCCACTTGAAGGCGAAATAACTGCAGAGGACATTTTAAGAGAAACAACGCCAAGAAGAAGCATGTCTCGGGAATTTTCGAGATCGAGAACTCATTCGCCTGTCGATAGAGACGCCCAAAGAATACTAAACCTTGACTCCTCACCTGGAAGTAGTCGTAAATATGGAGAGGAAGGCGATGATGAAGGAGTGCACATACCAAATTTTTCAAAAGAAGTGTCTTTGGATTCAGAAGATGACGCTATAGACCAGGCTGTTCAAGCGTATGTTGCGAAGCGTCCGGAAAGCCAAACGAGTACCCATTTAGCGACTCCTGTTGAAATACCAAAAAATGTTTCCCCGAAAAGTATATTGAAACGACGTGCACCAGAGCAACAATATAATATAGGTGTAACGGAGACACGAGAAAAAACAAAATGTTGTCATCCATTAGTAAATAAGATAAAACATTTGGCTGATAAAACATTACACAAATTAGAAAGATCAGACAATGAAAAGTCTCCGATAACGAAGCGTAAGAAAAATGAAGACACTCAAGAAATTCGGCAGCTAAAATCTTCACCCGGAGCAGTTCGAAGGCAAAAATTTAGTGCAATAAAATTGGGAGATTCAGATGAAATGAGTAAATCTATGAGTGTTGAAACTCCTCCAATAAGAAAGAAAAAAGAACATATATACGAGGACATAGACGAGAAATCAGCAGAGAAAGAAAAAATTATTCAGTTTGCTCCAAATACCCGGAAAGGAGAAAATGAAGTCAATGAAGAAAACTTTAGTCAAAATAAACAAGACAGTGAAAGTTTATCTGAAAAGAAATCAAATGCATCCCAAGATCCTAGCTTAGTTACAGATGACTCTATTCCATTAAATCGTGAAGAACATGTAATGGAAAAACTACATAAAAAAGACAATATCAATAAAGAGGCCGTTTTATTAGATGATGACACGGATGAACCAAACGTTGATGAGATATTCCAAAACCAACTGGATGAAGTGAGGCCTAAAAACGATTCACCGAATATAACTATTACAGAAATTATTGACGACGATGCAGAAACTACCGAGGACTGTACTGCAGTTCCTATTGAAACCTCCCCAACCCCTAGCCCACTAGGAATGGAACGGAAGGACATAAAAAACTCTAGCAGTGATTGGTCTAAACCCAACAGGTAATATTTTTAGTTCTCAGTGTTCTTTGTGTACTTTATGACTACATTTAAAAAACTTAAATCATACAAGTTTACTGTACGTAACGATGACATAACAGATGTATATATTTCAATACACGCAAAGCTAACGCGCTAGCTTCTGACTGTCTGATAAATATAGATTGGTCGGCCGTCGTCCTGCACATTGGGTAAAGCTCTTTAAAATTGTCATCAGTGATCAGTGCTCGCGGTAGCTTTCACGTTAGTGATTTCTCGTCTTTCACAAACAGTTTTAATGACTCATTGTCTGAGGAAGAATGTCTGTAGGACACTTATAGTTTAATGGAAACTTAACATTAAATATGCCCTGGATTCGAAATTCCTTTCGGTAGCTTATAGTTATGAGTAAACTTCGACGATGGACATCCGAAGGTGGAACTCCAATAGAGAAGGCAGTGAGGCCAACAAGAGAAGGCAGTGTCCAAGTATTTACACCTGATGTCCGTTGTGCCTGTCAATTTTACCAATGTGATTCACTTCTACCGGAAAGAGTTAATCCAGTGGGCACTAGACCAACATCGCGGGCTAGCAATATTATTTCGTATGTGAGGTAAGTTATAGCCTTCTTTTTTGACAATTGATGACAATTTTATGGCCGAAAACACGAGTATTGAAATAAATTTTAAAACCACTTGAAACTGTTTCGCCCGGCGACTGCTGTGGCTAAAACGAGCAACGACGGCTGGCCTAATTGTGACTCAAATAACATGCGTGTGAGTTTAAATATAACTCAAATCTTCTGCGAGCAATCATGATTTTTGCGATTTTATTTTACTTTCTGTGTCATTTTCCTATGCGAATTAAAAAAAATGTTTTGTGAAACGCTATGCGAAATGTTATTTGTATATATTTTTATATTTTTTTAATGCATAAATATAATTAATTTTTCCAGTGATCACGAATACGAAATTATCGAAAAACCATCGCCCGACATTGTGTACCATGCTCCAAACGTGGGTGATAGAACAACAATGGTCAAAACCGATGACGAGTTATCTAGTACTACTTCATTAGAAAGAAAGTATTTACAACATGCTTCTGATGAAGATGAACTAATGGACGACAAAGAAAATCTGGATAATAATAAAAATGATGACACTATTAACGCAGAAGCTTTACAGAAAGATATTGAAGATCGATTCTTTGTTAGCACACCATCTACAGTATCCAGAACGGAATGCGAAATCAGTACTAGTCAAGTAGACTCATCAGCTTTGGAAAATTTACCGTTGAAGCGTGGAAGCCGAACCAAAAATACAGATAGTCACGACAGCAAACTGCAACAACGTATAAAAGAAGGGACAGGAAAGCTAAAAACTCAGGCCGGAAAATTGAAAACTAAATTACAGAACATGAAAACGTCAATGCCTGAAAGACCTAAATTAAGTTTTCCGGATCGCCCGAAGTTCAAAATGCCCGAACGACCAAAAATTAATTTTCCGGAAAGACCAAAGTTTTCATTACCCGACAGAAGAAAATTCAGCTTACCTGACAGACCAAAGTTTAAAAGAATTAATATTTCAGAAAAGCTAAACATGGGAGATCGAAAGAAATTTACATTACCCGAAAGACCTAAATTTAATGTTCCAGATTTACCTAAATTCAAAATGCCAGAGCGACCAAAAATAAACTTTCCGAGCTTGGGGAAAAAAAAAGAATACAAAGTCGAGACAACAGGATCAGAGTCACCTACAGATGTTAAAAATGTTAGTTCAGTAGAATTTGAAGCTAAAACATTTCCAAGATTATTTGGACGGAAAAAAAAGACGGAGCTTCAAAAAACTTCATCTTCCCCGACTCTGGAAAGAGAAGACACACCACCACCAAATTTCACATTTACACGGATGAAAAAAATTACACAAGAACCTTCGTCCTATATCCCAGACAGTCCTGAACAACCTCGTGAATACGGGAACATTGAAAATGTAAATAATTACGACGAAGACTTCGGATCAAGAAAACAGTTCGAAACTACTTACGACTTTGATAAAATAAACACTGAGTATATGAATGAGCCACCACACTTTGGTGACAATCTTAACGCTTCTTCTATTCCCAATCTATCACCGTCTGAACAGGAATACACGCATGTAATAAACGAAATAAATAACGACGAATTTTTCGTCCGACCGAGAGGAATTTCTCGCGAAAATATTCAAGTAAGAGAATACTTGAGCGACGAAATACGACAAGCATTTAAAATACCGAAAAACGTTCTCGCATCTATGGGAAACGATTCTCAGCCTGCCGATGAAAATGTTTATATTAATGAACCGGAAGCGGATCCAGAGTTAACGATGGATTACAACGAACTGATACGTTATTCAAACGAAGATCTAAATGACCGAGATGATGGTTATTATACATTCCCGCCAGTGCGACCATCTCGAGGCAAGCGTAAGAAAAAGGAGCCTGAGCCCGTGGCTGAGCCTCAACGCATCCCTTATATAGACGATAGTATGAATGCCAGTTTGCAATTTAGTGAAGTTGATCTGGGATTAAACGAAGATCCTGAAATAGAAAGCTATATAATCGGAGAAAGTGCTCAAATACCAGGAGATAATAAATTCAGCTTTTCTCCTCCTATTGACTCTGGTTTAATTCATGAGTATGCAAATGATGATATATTAGAATATCCAGAAAATATACCAATCCAATCGCAAACACTCCCAATGCCGCCAAAGAGAAAAAGGAAAGTGGTTTCTAAGGATCTGAGGCACTCATCACTCAGTGACTTTAAAGACCTAGCTACAACGGAGTGGCAAGGATCCCAGAAGCCCTTGGAAGATGTAAGTAACAAAGCTTTTATTCATAATACATATATATTATCACTGTGTAGCGTAACATAATGATTTAATGAAAGTGGCAGGAAGTAGTCATCATTAAATCTTAGTAACGAGGTAGACAGTTCTGCAAAAGTAAACAATATCTTTTTATTTTACTTATATCATCAACGCACCTCAATACAAGTAGTAGTTAAAACAACATTTGCAATCCCACGGTTTGGCAAACGTCCAGATATATAGATGAAGGTCATTACACTATCTAAAGCGTGAAAATATTCCATTAAATCAATATTATGATGACTTTACTAAACAAACACGTTACACATGTGTGGAAAATCAATTTTTATTACTACGTATTATGTCTATTCTTAGTTCTCTAACGCAAAAATTCATTGTGCATTACAGATTATAGTATATCGTACCGAACACGAGTATATTCTACCTCAAGCAGAGACTGTAACGATAACTGATCATAGCCCTGTGCCCCCGCGACGAAATCGCTCACGCAGCTCTAGAGGGACTTCATTATGTGACGATGATAGAACTTCTCATGGTGCTGAATCACTCACTCTTGATACTCATGGTGCTCAGCATGACGAAATGGATGTCGAGAGAGAAATCCTCCGTGAAAGCCCCGGATACGCCACCGTTGACAAAGGACCTTATGCACCTAACAAAAAAGAGAGACGTTCTAAAAATAAAACCCCTCCTGTTAGGCATCGCAAAAGCCACAGTTCTGAACGAAAGTATTACACAGTTGGATCCACTACAACCGCAATACCCGACCGTCCACCTAGAAAAAAATCATCTACAAGTTTAATGACTCTAGAGAGTTCTACAAAGCGATCTATTAGTGGGGACCTTACGCAGTATGTAGAAATAGATGAGCCTCATATTGAAGAAGTTCACAAAGATTTGCAATCAGGTGAAGTCGTTAGTAAAATGAAAGATCGTCCATTACCTCCACCTCCACGGCCGCCAAGAGGGTCAAGAAAATCGAAGAAAGGTAAAGACATGTCTGACGAACCGGAACAGAATTTTACAATTGCAAATGAATCAAAAATTGAAATGTCATCAAGTTACCCAGCAGAAGAAGATAAAGAACATGTCATAGAAATTGAGGTCTCGACACAAACAGATCCTCTTCCTGATGACGTTGACTTTGAATTAGGCATCGATGAGAACCTAGATGTTTCAGTATCAAGTTCCTTAAGGGACATTATTGACGAAGACTCAATAATAGGCAAGAGTCACAGTAAAATAGCAGAGAGTCCTCGTTTTTCACGCCCAACCTCTAGATCCGAAAAATCATTAAAACTATCCGATCCAAAAATTTCTGAATTTTCAAAATCGACTATAGGAAGAACTTCTCCGACTGTGATTTTGGTTGAGCGACGGGTATCTAGTCCGACGAGAATAAATGAACGTGATGAAATGTTAACAGAAGCTTCCTTGACAGTTCAACATATTGATGTAGAAGAGTCTCAAATTCCAGAAGTTCCCCCACTACCAATGTCAAGAGGTGTTTCTAGTGATAAAAAATCTACTAAAAATGTAGCTCCACCTATTGAAGAACGCGCACTTGAAAGAGTGACTGGCGTCAGTTCCACTCGAAATGTTCAGTTAGATAATTTATCTACTCAACGACTACAAGTTAAAGATTTAGATGTGGATCGGCTAAACGTTGCTGAATTACAAGCCAGCAAAATTTTAGTTTCTGACATTGAAGGAATGACTTTACAAGTTTCTGAATTGGATTCTAAATCAGGGCACATTTCTGTTAGTGGGATTGAGTTTTCCCAAACGGTTATAGACGAAATAGTTAAGAAGTTTGCTGAAATTACTACTACTCAAGCAGCAACTCACATACATGATGTAATTCAACCTCAAAGACCAATAAGTAGAGAGGAACAAACACAAACAGAAGAGTGTCAACATCGGACCAGAGCCGAAGAATTAATGTCAGAGGAAAAAGAGCCGCTGCGTGCAACGTTGCAGCAGTGTGATTTTGTTGCGCAGCAACAAACTCCGACAGTTGAAACGCAATCTTTACAACCATCATCTGAAGAACATGTCTCGCCACAACCACCCAATGTAGAAGAAAAAAAAAACGCGCCACCACCACCACCTCCTCGCCCGTCTATTGTTGAAGATACTACTGCCCCACCGCAGCGACCGCCTCCTCCAGACTTAACTCCTCTCCTATATTCTTATCTCCAAGATATCTCATTGCCTCCTCCTTCTCTCTTTGTAAACCGAGGGCTAAGTGAACGACCATTCACTGAATTCCATGAATCTCAGCATCAGACCCCTCCACCACCGACGCGAAGAATTAAGAGAAAACCGGTAACACATCACAGTGAATCCAGTTCTGACGAGGATAGGGCGCACCCATCACCAAGGCGGATGCCACCTCCAGTCAGAGGTCACGAACCGACTATAGTTGAAGCAGGAGCGCAATTCTTGCGGGTTTGTCATAATTCAGTTAGCAGAACTATACGACAGATGTTCAATTCTTTAATGTCTTATATCAGTGGAGCGGAAGACAAAAAAGACGTGCAAATGGCATTGGTAATATTTCTGGTGTTAATCGCTGGATTAATCATGTTCGGGCTAAGCGACGGGCGGACGGTTCACCATCATCACTGGGAATTTTTCAATCCTCCTGACAACACACAGTGACAAACATCGAAATGTAGGTTTTCAAGAACGTATCCCGTTGATTATAGTGTATAAGATTTTAGTTCTATTACCACATTTATTAAATATTATTTATTGATTATTAACGTAAGCTAAGAAGTAATAAATACGTAAACTTACTTCAAGTACTTTTGCAGACCGGTTATGTACACCTATTATAAATATGAAAGCTGATCAATCACGTAACGTATATAACGCATGTTTTCGATTAACTACGGTTTCACTTATATATTTCTTAGTAAGGTTAAAAGAACGAGAAAAGCATTTTGTGTAAACCAGACTTTCCACTACGGTTATGGAAATGTTAGAATGTTATTTAATTTAGTTGTTTATTATAAGCCAGTTTGATTGTAATTCAATGACTCTTACTTTACCTTTGCAAATGTCAGGATTGGCGGAGCTCTGAAGCCGCTGAAGACTGCCGCGTCTTGTGTGTAATCGAAATTGATTACACTCATTGGACTTGAGTTAGAGTATTCGTTCGAACCAGTGATATTTATGTACACGGTTCGTGAGGATAACTGAGAATCAAAGCTCTGAGATAGAATATAGATGTGCAGGAACGTATACATTTACTTCTCTATCCAAAGCGCCCAAAGTTTTGAAATCGATTTTGAAATGTTTTTCAAAGAAAATTTATTTAAAAAAAGACTTTGAAAAACTTTTGATTTGTATTTCCATTCACAAGTGTACTTTGTTTATTGTTATTCGCACAGTAAGTGGGAATTATATGTTAGTGTGGGCTGGTTTTGCATTTTGTAAGTTTCTCTTTTGTTGTGTAAAATAATAAAATTTTGTTGATGAAATTTCTATTGTATCATTAACAATGCGTACCTTTTTCGTTCAAACAGATAATTGTTTAGATATATTTTAAGTAGAAGACAATCACATGATTTCAGTTTTATACAATGTCATATCTATAATTGATATTGTAGTGCGACGCTAACGCTCTACAGACCCGAAGGTAGCCGATTATGTCCTATAATATTTTTGTAACCCTCGATATGCAATATTTATACCGCTTGGTATTGTATGTACATGCCTATAGTGTGCCCATGCGATTATTCCATAAATATAAGCGATATCAAGAATCTTTAAACTAATATCAAAAGTACGGACGACGGCACACCAGACTACTATTTTTGTTAGTAAAATCGGCCCCCAATGCAACGGAACAAGATACGTCAATGTGTAGCTTGCTGGCGTGTGTACGTTACCTATAGATTAAAGCGACACCACTAACTTTTCTAAAATATAATTAAAATTATCAAAAATTTTAACGTTAACGCTCCCATACAACAACTGCTGTGAATATAAAACATTGTAGTTACTTAAAAATAAACAGCACTTTGTTTTATTCAATTAAAAGATAGTTTTCTTAGTTTAATTAAAACAGAGCCGTTATCTTTAAAATTATTGTTACCTCTTAAAGTGGGAAAACTAGAGCTTCTTCATTCATATTAAAGTATGCGAGCTCACAACGTTAAAATTTTGGATATTTCTAGTTTTGTCTTAAAAAGTATTGTTAAAGATATCATTTTCGATATCAGCTTAATGGTTTATGATATCTCTATTTACGGAATAATGGCCTGGACGCACTTAACGATTGCACCCTGTATAATGATGTCTAAAAAAAGTCAAAAACAAATGCCAGCAACATTTTTTTTTACACGTGGCCTGCTTGTGGAGTATAGCAACCGAGTAATAAAAACCCAAAAACAAACTTACAAGTACTCGTAATTCTGAATTGGGAAATTGATACAAATAAGCGATTTTTTGAGGTTTTTATAATTTTTTTGGTTTATATTAGAGGCAATAACGATAGATATTATTATTATTTATTATTCTTAACCGACTTCAAAAAAAGGAGGAGATATACGTTCGGTTGTATGTAAGTTTTCAAACTTCTTGGTCAATTGCAGACCGAGTGTGAAATTTTTTTTTATGTTTGAAAGGGTGCACTCTCGTGGTGGTCCCATTCGGATCCATGGAAATCCTCGAATTTTATAGACATGTACATTGACGTACCAATTTGTCCATGAGTTGTTGACAGATTTTGAAAATTCTTTTTTGTTTGAAAGGGTTATAAGTCTACCCCGATGCCAACGATGCTGTTCCGGGTTCGTTTCGGCTATCACAAATTAAAGACTTTTCGCTTGATATAATACATGTAATCAACAAACCACAGTCGCCATGACAACCAGGAAAAAGCATTAAATGTCCGTAGCAGTCCTATTGTCACTAAGAAGTCAGAATCTGAGGGGATCCCACTATGTGGTCTGTGGGAGATCCCATGGAAATCAGAAAAAAATCGACAAAACAGACTTTTGAGATCGGTTCTTTTTTTTCAATGGAAAGAAGCCAGAAGCCAGGCACTTCAGCTTGCTTATTCTACGTGTTAACGCTGCTGCGACATAACCAGTGGCACCTGAGGAGTAAGGCAGGCGCAGCGGACACCTCCACTCGCGCTTATTTATTTATTTTCGAACACACAAAACTACGTCATTACAATTATGACGACGTTAGAAACCCTCCGATGATTTGTTCGTCTTAATGCTATGAGTAAGAGTCGTTACACACGGCGACTTTACAAACATACGATCGATACAAACGCGCGATTGCAGCGAAAGCGATGCAAACGCCTATAAATCCAAAGTGTAACGATGCAATCCCGCGTTTGGATCGCTGCTAAAAATCGCGCGCGTGTGTAAATGTCTACGATTAGCAACTGCATCGCTACACACATAAAACACATCTTAATATTAATAGACCACTTTATACTGGTTAACAGTTAAATAATTTAAAACTAAAAATACACATAGAGACGCTCCTGGACATTAGCCAATATTACACTGACCTACTTTAGTTTTCAATAAATATCGACTAGTCGTGCGGTCTTCAAAGTTACTTATATAAATATTTCCCGTCACACATTATCAGTCCTTTATACATCCCACGGCTGAGCACGGGTCTCGGGGACTTCACATTTTCTTATGGTTTAGAATTATCAAAATGCATTCCACGTTTGCGGGACGAATTGCAGCTACACATTTACAAATGTAGGTACCTACGTAACGTAGAAATTAAAGTTGTAAGTACAGGCCGCCACAGGGAATCGAACCTTCCCTAATATTTACAAACCACCGCGGCAATACTTACGTACATGCACATCTATTTTTAGGTGTGCATGCTACATTCTCGACCTCATCATCACTTTCCATCAGGTGATCATGGAGGTCACATGCGCACTTATTTTTTTATAAAAAAAAACGTTCGGAGAGTAATTGAGTCGTGCGCCTGGTAATAAGCGACTCGCCTGTCCAGAGCAGTTGCTGTGCCACTCAGATCGTTAAATCGCAAAGATCTGAGGACCCCTGTCACTACGCCCGTCACCCTGAGACATAAGTTGATAATTGTCATGTAACAATATTTCACTAGCACCTTTACCTTTCAAAAATAATGCTCACAGGCGCTAGAAATAGTAAGGTTGCATCAGTTGCTTGGACGAATTCTTTCACAATAAGCACCACTGCTGCTAAATAATAATATGCTGCTAAAGTGCGTCATGCAACACGTCTCCATCACGACAGTGCTGCGTACCAGTTGTAATCTATGGAAATGTTAAGCTATACTGCAACTAACTTAAGAATTCACATAACTACTTTATGTGTTCCAGAGATAGAAGTAATGTGTTTCCATTTCGAAATTAATACATTTCTCCTGTTATCAACATTACGGAACTATGCTTGACCTAAATAAAGTCGAACGAGAATATCGAGGTCGAAACAACTAGTCAGAACTGAACTATAAAATATACATGTATATAATTATGAGTACAATGATCTATATAATATACATGTATATAATTATGAGTACAATGATCGAGCACTTAGAAAAAATTCCTTCGATCGAACCACAGTCTTCCAGCAAACAGTGACAGATGCTATGCCAACTAGGCCACGAAAACAACTAGCGGACGTTACGAATTTTTCCTTGTGCTTGTTGCAGATCTTTGTTTTTCTTATCTTTTTAACGACTTTTTTGCTGTAGCGAGAAAACTATTTCTTCTTCACTCAGCCAAGTACCTTTACAGCTACCAGCAGCTGCCCGTTAATTCGTTCGGTGGATTAGTTGTACCTGACACGGTTTGCTGGAAGACATTGCTTCGAATCCAGCCGGATGGAAGGAATTTTTTCTTAGTGTTCGATAATTATAACAAACAAATGGAGTAATATCACAAAAATAATTGATTATCATTGCGGTCAAACATCGTGACATTCAATAAACTTAAATATATATATTTATATTGTTGTAATTTTAAGGGATGTTCGTAATAGTAGAGTTACTGTCAAATAGTAAATTGGGTTTGACTGAATCTAACATATTTCGTGTTTGAAAAGAAATTGTAACACTTAATAAACCTATCGCCCACTTAACTAATTTAAATTCAAAATCGTTTTGTTTCATTATTCAAATTCCAAAGTATCATGAAAATTATTGAACGGTAAGCACTGTAACTGTAGAGCAGATTCACTGAAGCTATAATTGTAAATATAGACGAGTATTCGTTCACAATTTTAATTAACAGTTAACTATGATCGTTAATTTTAATTAAAAACACAGGTGTACGGGTGTAGTTGCCATATAAATTCCGATAAGTTTATTTTATCAGAGCAGACAGTTATTTATAGCAAACAGTTGAAGCGTCACGAGTTAAGGACGTGTTAATCTGCTTCAGCGCGGCTTTACTCCTTTGTTAAAAGAAATGTATGTTTCTTTTAGTTGAGAATATGTCCTATATTAGGTACATTGCATTTTATACATCTATTTTTTATATTCGTTTAAAGAAATGCCTAATCTCTTATAAGACAAAGCTTTTGTTGCACTGGCCATTTTAATGCACCCTAGCTTTGCGCCGCATTCGAGCCTAGCCTTATAACACAGGATATATAACACAGGATGCGCATCGCGTGGTGGCGTCCGAGTAAAACACGACGATTTACAGGTCATCTGCGGGTAAGGTTATCATTCCAAAATTTGAATAGTCCGGACAAAAGTCTGGCATTGGCAAAAGAAATTCCGGACTTTTTAGTAACAAAATTAAAACCTCTCTCATACGGCAGCAGAGATGGGCGAGTGCCCGGTTAGCAAAATTTTTGTCGTAAATCGATTTATTTCATATTTATTGATGTTATTGCACAATACTGATGTAAGAAGTGATACCACGCGGGACAAGAATCTTTTCCTTTGTTTTGGTTAGTTGCTAATGATAATGCCGTCATTATCCAGCGCAGTAAATGATATATACTGTGAACTAATAACTCTATCTGCGAAGGCGTTTAACTGTATCTACCACATTATGTAAGCTACATAAACTTGCCTCTAGATTTCGTCAGCATATTTTGCAAATTGTGCTTCACTCTAAAAGTCGAGCTGATAATTTCGTAATATCAGCCACATCGTTTTAAACCACATTCAAACATTCAAATTCATATGTTACCATATCATGTTTTTATGTACCTTTGTTAGGCTGCTGTAGTAAACAAATCGTTCGATCTACCTCGTCTTAAGTAGGGGCCGTGGGTGTCTTCATGTGCGAATTTTACCATGACGAGCTTTTCGATGAAGGAAAACATTGTGATGAGAACCTGCACGTCGACAAAGTCATTTGTCCCCAGTAGTTCCATGTACCTTCGCAGTTCGACGTAGGACAATTGTAACCTTGACATGTCATATTTATAACCCTTGCAAAACACGTGAAGTCCCCGGCCCGCATTGGACCAACGTGGCGGATTAT